GCTTCTCAGGGACTGTTGCTGCAAAGCCCAAACTTAGGAGGAAAGAGCAAAACTATTTTGCAGCCTTGAGAAACAACACGCTTTCAAACGAAGGATGGAGAATTAATTTGGGAAAGAAATCAAGCTCTTTGTAGCATGTAGTTTTCCATGTCGGTTATTGCTTTCATTTTAACAAGTGAAATCCTCATGAAATATAGTAATTTGCTGGAAGTGAAAGATCATCTTTCATCATTACTGCACTGTGCTTAATTCTGGGACTTTCTCTGTCTTCCTCCTCTGCCGCTGAGCAGAGAGTTTGGCCCGTGATTCATTAGCAGCATTTGAAATCAGTTTTCAAGCACCATCCCCATTTAAAATCCAGTCCAGACTGTAATAAGGCTGTCAGCAATGTTTTTTCTGCCCTGATCAGTGGAGTTAGGAGAATGAAAAATGTGTAACTGGGGATCAAAGTGTTAGTCTGTCATGCCCCAAACCATCCTGAGGCAGCAGCCAATTCCTGGTACAGTTTGGTTTATCCACCACAGGCTTCTTCTTTAGGCATATACAGTAAGTGCCTACAGTTAACTGGTATGAACATCCTCAATTATACTGGTGCACCTGCAGGAGAATATTCCTTCTTGACCCTGCAATGATAAGGAAGAAGTAGTGATGCCCGAGGATGAGCTGTAGTGATTTGCAGCACCTTATTTATGCAATAAAGTTATTTGTCCTGTTTTAAATCCAGGCAAAATTTAGATTTTGAAAACTGAGATCAAGACCTGTTAAATATCCAAGAGCATTTGCTATTCCAAGTTGCTCTCCCAGACCTTTCAGCAATATCAGGGTCAATTGCAGAGGCTGCTAAGGTCAAAATTGCTCATGTGGAAAGAGATGATTTATATTACAAGCTATGTGAAAAAATTGCCAGAAGATATCAAAGCACCTACAAAGTATCAAATATTCCATCTTCACAAGTCTGTGGTAGGTAGGTGTTACTTTATTACCCCCCTGCATGAATAAAACAGCAGCCAGAAAGGTGAAAGTGAGAAGACAACCCAGGAGTCTTTGCTGTCACTTCTCTTCACACAGCCACATCTCCTCAGGGGTTATTCTCCTTTACAGCAATACCCCTTCAAGAAATACTGCCTGGGAGGGGAAAAAATTCCTTTCACTTGATTTCCCCCCAGAAATCATAGCATAATTTAATATAAATATAAAACAGACTATACAAGCAGAATTACTGCCAAAGTAAAACAGCAAGAGAATTAGTCAGAAATCTTTGATATCACTTGCTATGTAAGGCCTTTTGTAGGTTTGATGAGGGGCAAACAGACCCTCATAGTAGGGCAGGAGAGCCACACTGAAGTGAGCTGGGGGGTGAACAGGATTTTAGGGGAACCCTGGCTGAAACCCTCCCCTAGCCTGTGATGGGCTTTTTACAGAGCCCTCAATGTGCCCTTTCCCCAAGGAAAATACAGCTGTGCATTGTTAAATACATGCCAGAAACCCAAGTGAGAATTGCTAGTGCACACTCAGGCTCCATCGTTCCAGTTTTAGCCTCTGGTGAATTGGAGATACACTGAAATCCTCCAGAACTGTTACAACCACTGATTTAACTTACAGAAAACTGAGCAAGCTGTCACTAGAAAAAGCATTTCCATAGGTAAAGCTGCATGTGGTATCACTTGTGAGTTACTGTGTCTTCATGCGTATGAGTATACGCACCCTGGTAATTCAAAATTGTCCTTCCAACCCTCACTTTAAATTGACCTGGAGTTGGTTAACCCTCAGGTCTTGGCCCAGAGTGTCTTGTCATGCAGCATTGCGTGTGCTGTGCTCTCCTCAGGGCTAGCTGCTCAGTTTTCTTCTCTCTCTGCTCAGCTCCAGATTCAAAGTTCCAGTTCCTGTTGCATGTATACACAGACATGAGTGAATAGGGTGGCTTTGTGCCCAAAGACTAAACTTTGGGTACTACAGAATAAAGCAGTCTGTGATGTGTGACATGAGAAAGTTCAGGCTTTGCTCCAAGTCCTGCAGATGCAATGCTCCCTGTATAGCCCTGATGGGGAGCTTGAGATATGTTTAGTGCTTATTGCCCATTCTTGCCATGCTCTAATGTCTCTTTTTTTCCTCCTTAGTGTCTGGACAGAAGAGACTCAGTGCTCGCTTCTCAATGCATCCATCACAGAAACCTTCAACTGTTCATTTAACTGTGGTCCAGACTGCTGGAAAATCTCTCAGTATCCCTGCCTCCAGGTGTACGTTAATGTCACCTCTTCTGGCCAGAAGCTTCTACTCTACCACACTGAGGAAACAATGAAAATTAATTCTGAGGTAGGAGCACAGAACAAAATTTCTCCTAAATGGGTACCTGGAGGGCTACTTACCTTGTTATATCCATTCCTTGCTTTAAATCAATATAAGGCTTCCAGCTCCTGCTTCATTGGTAAATATGGCGCAGAGAAAGCAGAAATCAGTGCACAAACTGAGCTCACATGTCTGGAGAGGGCAACTTTCCACCTCTATCCCATGCAGGGAGCACAGCTCAATCCACACGGGGTGCTATCCCCTGGGACTGGAGCCTCCCTCGTCCTTTGCAAGTGCTTTACAGGAGCAGGGTAGCACCAAGTATTTGTCACATTGATAGTCTTGTGAAACTGTGGACAAGTCACTTCCCAGCCAGGTATGACTCCACATGATAGTGAACATCCCTGGTAATGTGCATGGAGCATCCATGGTGGTGAGAATGGAAATGGCATTACTACTGCAGGGCCAGGCAAGGCGGTGAGGACAGACAAGAGCCTCACATCTAACAGCAGATACGTCCCTGTCTCCATCTCTGGTGACAAACTCTCTGCCCTCAGCATCTCAACAAGGTCAGCTGTGTCAAAAGGGCCAAGGCACAGATAGCACTTATCGCTGTGGGTGGTGCAAAGATCTTGGAAGTTTGCTGAGCAGGGACTGCCCAGATAACAGCAGCAGCATAAAAATAGAAGACCTGGCTTTGGGGCATGAATAAGCAAAGGAGTCAGCCCATCTTTGCTACACAACTTCCCTGATTTCAAACGTGAACCAAAAGAAATATTTTTAACAGTGCTGTGGAAGAATTCCCCTCTGCTTCAGCAAGAACAGACTCCAGCATAACTCCACCCAGGTGGGATGGAGACAGCTTGTGTGTGGAGGCTGTAATGAGGCAGCAGATGCACAGAAGGCATCTACCCACATCCACAGCTGTGCAGTTGACAAAGGGCAGTGCATTGCACCCAGGCAAGCAGCCCCTTCACAGCTGGCTCTTCACTCCTTCCACAAAGCAAGGCAGGATGGGACAAAGAAATGTGCCTCTTCCCACCTTCCTTTCTTCATATCTACAGTGCCTGTGTCCCTAAGACTGCAAGCTGCAGTGAGCTGGGACACAGTGAAATCGTTAGACTTGCAGGTGCCAGATTTGCATTAACTACTCAGTTATCCAAGGTCACTGAACCCCAAACTATGGGTGCTTGGCAAAGCGCAGCCTGGAAGAGCAGAGCCCCAGTTCAGGTTGCTGACAACGTAACCTATTGTGTTTCTATTTATGGCAACCGTTCAGTAGACCAAATTACTTCTGCATATTAAGATGAAGTGATATTAAAATTAGTCAAAGCACGGCGTGGTTGCACTAGGCTGCTTATTCTGCTGGATAATTAACTCCTGTGGCTGAGAGATGGAGTCCTCTGGATCTGAAGTGTGAAATGGTGAAGAGTGCCTCCATCTTCCCCTTGACTCCAGCATCATTGCAGGAAGAGGCACTTGCTGTCCATGAAGCCTGCAGCAGGACAGACCCCACTTTCTGCTGGGGCACAAGCCACAGTTTGGTCAGAACAGATCATATAGGACTCTGTGCTCTACTGATTCAAATAAATCAAGACGTTCGCACGAATGTCCACATTCTCTTATTGATGATTTTTGCTTGCTGAAATGGACTTTGAGATTCTCCCAGATACCACTTCCTCTTAATTTAATGTAGGCACAGTTAATTCTTCTCCAGCCCAAGGTTGTTTTACAGGTTAAGCTCTGCTCTCAGGAGGATTCCTAGGTTTTCCTGACATGCTGCTGGCTATGTGACCTGAATCCAAATGCAGTTTTGAATGGAAGTTTGCAATGTCTATAAAATAGCTGTCTTCTTGTGCCTGGCTTGAATCAGCAGAGTTTCCAAGCTCAGATCAGCACAACCCCTCTCAGCACCCAGACATGCTCTCCCTCTTCCCCATCTGGAGAGCATCCCCATGTAGCAGGACAGGAGTCCCGAGCAGGGCTGGATGGTGATGCTCCAGCTGGGTGCTAGCTGACTCTCTCAGATCTGTGTTCTCTGTCTTTCTCCTTGGCAAATAAACAAAATAAAAAAGCCATCCCTGACTCACTGAGCTCTGACATTACTGGGGACATTGCAGAGCACAGTGCTGGGTACTCCAAGGCCAACACTAGTGACCTTCAAAAGGTCAGCACCCCCCCACCAAACTCTCTGTCTCGCTGAGCATCGCTGCACATGCAGAGCAGCATCTGGAGCTCATCTCTCTCCTCTCCCCACCAGCCAGCAAAATGGAGTAAAATCCACTTTGATTTTAAATAATGATTTATCCAGGAGACTTGCTGTCTAACCTGGCTGTCAGCTCAGGAGGTGCAGTAAGGAGTAGATACAATTTATATTGAGATCTACAGCATGCACTGCCAGTCTCTGGTGGGAATCAGTGGGAAGTCAGTGGATACCTGTCAAGTTGCTCTCGTCTTTCCAAGAAAAGCACCCGAGATTTTTCATGCCTTTTCATTGCTCTCACTGTGCATACTTTATCTCAAGCCTTTAGGACAAGCCCAGCCCCTTGTCAATACTACAACCACAGTGGTTTAAGTGCTTCCATGGCTACACTTCCCTTCATCAGCTGCCAGAGGATGTAACAGCCTCTGTGAGAGGTAAATTGGTTGGTGTGCCCTCATGCCCAGATCATGGAGCCAGACTGTCACCCTGAGGAAGGGCTGTGGTAGTTAAAGCAATTCTAAAGGCCCCATTTTGATCTCATATTATATAATTTTGATTCTTTCTATGTTGTTGGAGCTCTGTAAGTGACAGGACAAGCAGGATTTAATCACAGAATCAGCTATACCTGCCCATGACTCCAAAATTAGGGGACCTGTCAGGATTTCTCATTGAAGGTTCAGGTATTTATAACCCATGTAGAAATTTGCCTGGTAAAGGGAGGGAGGGCAGAGGTGTTCAGCTGTGGTTCCTGGTAGACCCATTTCTGGGCTGCAGAATTCCTTCTGGAGGTATCAGTAACAGGCCAACACAGACACAATGCTATTCCTTCAGCCCTTGGTCCAAACCAGTTGCACTTTCCAAAAGAGGTGTAAATTGATATCCTGAACACTTTCTCACAATCCGTCTAAGTTTCCAGGCTCAGCATGGATGCCAATCCCAACCACGGACACATGATGAGTCCTTTATTTCATTGCCCAGCCTGAACTGGCAGCTTTTCTGGCTATATCTTTTTCAGTGTTACATCATTGATTTAAAGGAAACTGCCTCCAGCTTGCTTGGAGAAATTGTGTGATCTCTATCCTTGGAGATACTCATAACCTGACTGGACAAGTCCCTGAGCAACTCCACACTGAGTAGGGCATTGGACTGGATGTGTCCAGAGGTACTTCATACAGAATACCTATCCAATCCTTTATATTAGGAAAGTAGAGCTGGAAATGTAATAACAAGTCCAGTTTGTAAGAGTCTGGTAGATCCTTCTTGTGCTCAGATTGCAAGTAACACAAGAACCATCTTTCTCACACTGTATCACAGAATCCTCACTTGAGGCAGAGCACCAGACATTGTTTACTTGCAGATTTCCAAGTGTTCAGCAATGCAGAAGTGCAATAAACCAGTATAGATTTAGTAGTCTGTATTCACAGGTACAGTGTAACAATTGTGGATATAAAATTCCCTGACAGGCATTGGAGAAAACTATCAAAGATCAAAACAACAAAAAAAACAACACATCCCATTATTGTGTCTGTTTGCCAATGACCTGTGAAACACAGCAGACACCATCACAGCAGAGCCAGCCCTGTGTTTTCCCTGGGATCTCACTGAGGAAGCTGAAGTGTGGAAGGAGGCCAGGAGCACCCCACAACCACAATTTAATGTTGTTGAACCAAGATGCTTCACAAAGCTGAGGCCAAGACGCCTCCAGGATCTCAGGAGAACTGGAATGAGGCAGATAGTACGTAGAGTAAAAGGTATGCATGTCCATAGCCTGGAGAGAGGGACCATTTCAGCACAAGAAGCCTGGACGAGAGGCAAAATAAATAAACTTCCCTTTCACAACAGCACTTCACATTTTCATGCTCCCAGACCCAACCAGCCCAACACAGCTGGTGGCTCTGTGCCACCAGGTGTAGCAGGAACAGCTCAAGTTCTCCTTCAGAAACAGGTCTCCTTTGAAAATGCTTGGAGACTACTCAGACTCACTGCACTCTTGGGACATTTCCACAAACTTTGAGTCTAGGAATCTGTCATCATTTGGGCTCCTACATGTCTTCTGTTTTCTGTCAAGAGGGAATTGTATTTTGGTAAAAGTGGCCAAGTTCTCGTTTAATCATGTCCCTCAGGATATTTCATGGAACAAAAATGTATAGCCCCAAAGTGACAAGAAAAGAAAACCAACAAGAACCCATCTGAACTGGAAATACTGCTGTTATGACAGTGATAGCACATAATTTATTAAAAGAAAATGAGGTACACTTCACTGAGAAATTTCCCCTCCTTAGCAGACTATGATGTATTAAAGAGTCATGGGCACTGGAAGAGGGCTCCTGGCTTTGGACACTTAAGGCAAAACTGGTCAGAGTACAAGAGACTATCCTGGAGGGAGCAGACATGCACCAGCAGGAAGATGGATGAGATATTACTGCTCTGATATTTTCCATCTCTAATTTCTAGAGCTTCATGAAATATTCATTGTGGCAGTGCGGCCAGTGTCTACCATTAATGCTCCAGTCTGCTAACGCCAGACAGCATTTCTGCTGTGCTTCAAATCATATTCTGTGCTAATAACTTGCCAATGAATCAATCAAATCCTGTTACGAGGTTAATCCTTTGATCATAATTAGGACCGGAGATTTGTCACAGTATGTTACAAAAAAGTCACAGCAGAGTCATGGAAAAGAACATTTATAAAGTATGGGGGACATTTATAAAGCAGGTACATTAAAACAATGATAATCAAAAGCCATGGGTCACATTATTTTAATCACAACATCTTCTTTCCTTTGCAAAACTCACTTTCTCATTAAATCATCTAGAGTTACTTTAGGTGCTCACCAGGACAAGCAGGTTTGGCAGTGCAGGCAGGACCCAATGTCACCCCATAACTGCAAGGGACCAGTGACCTGCTGGGTCCCTGCCACGCACAAGCAACAAGAAGTTAAGTAGCAGGTTTCCACTCCTCCTGAAGCAGTTAATCAAAGTCCTGTGCAGGTGTAGAAAACCTTCAGGTTTGGAGGGGTGTAAGTACTTAGTAGAGAGGAAGACATCAGGGGCCCTGGGCTGCTGCCATCAATCATCTTCCTGACCAGCAGTAGCAACAGCAAGTTCAGGGGGTTCTGCTCTAGGTTAAAAATGATTCAGATGTGGCCTCAACCCCTGTGTGCCTGCCCACCACCTCAACTAGCCCACACTAGTTCTTTGCAGGGAATGGTCGGCACAGCCCAGGGCTACTGTCATACAGGTCCCATGGAATGTATTCAATGCACCAACTCTGTAAGGAGGTATGTTAATTAACTTGCCTTTAGTCTTCTCTGGAATGTTAGGTTGCAACTGTGCTAGATAGAGACACTCTCTAATCTTTTTTCCTTTGTGACTGAGACTGAAATTCAGGGAGCATCTTCAGAGAGAATGAACTGTTGGACTTAGACCGGGGTCAAGAGCAAACAACAACACTAAGAGCCATTCTGGTAGCCAGGCTAATCTTCAGCTAGAGGCTGAATGCAAGTCCTCTGGGCTGTTAGTAGGAAAACTCTGTTCTCTCCTAGACTTATCTATTTGTCTCTAATCAAGGCATTACCCCCATAGGAAAATTTGTGTAAAGGTCTCTCATCATCCCTCTCCTCTGTGAGTGAACTCCTGTGCCCACTATGATTCCTTTGATCTGAGCCAAGTGAGATCTAAACTAACAGATTTGTATTTACAGAGAGTCAATTACCCATCTAACTGTGAGCATATGCGTGCCACTTAAGATGAAGAGGTACTTCATCATTTCTATTTTTGCATGTGTAAATTAGCAATAATAATATATTCACCTATCTCACAAGGCACTGTGCAGATTAAAGCATTAATGTTTGAACAGCACTTGGAGGATCTCCAATGGGAAATTCTGTAGATGTGCAAAATATTGAGTTTTGCTGTGATAAATTTATTATTATCTTAATAGTATTCCACTCTCATTATGAAAAGCATAATCATCTCGAGATTTTCATGCTTGCCACCTGAAAACAGACATTGTAGCTGGAAGATGTATTTTTCTCTCTCTGATTTGTTCCCAGTGTTCGTACATCCCCAAATGCGGCAAGAATTATGAGGAATCCATGTCGCTGGTGAATGTTGTGATGGAAAACTTCAGAAAGTACCAACGCTTCTCCTGCTTCTACGACCCAGAAGGTGTTCAAAAGAACGTGATATTAACCAAACTGTACAGCTCCAATGTGCTGTTCCACTCCCTCTTCTGGCCCACCTGCATGATGATCGGCGGCGTCGCCATCGTCGCGATGGTTAAGCTGACTCAATACCTTTCCCTCCTCTGTGAGAGAATCCAAAGGATCAGCAGATAGAAATGAAACTGTCTCTGAAATTTAATTACAGCGAAAATACTGTTTTCTCATTCTTCACCAAAGAACCTTAAGTTTGTAATGTGCAAGTCTGTTATAAGTTCCTTACTATATTCTTATAAGTAGAGCAATAATGCAAAAGCTGTTCTATATGCAAACATGATGTTATTATTATGCAGACCACTGAAAAAGTTACTGTTTTGTGTTGACCATCTATATGATCTTGTTTTATGCTGGGACTAGTATTTCTTTCTTTTCTACAGCCAAAATAGGGCTCAGTGTGACCATTTGCCAAGCTTAGTCAATTGAATTTTTCAAAGTAAAGGATTCTGGGGAAAAGTCACCACTGGACAAAGGGCAGCCAACCACCTGTGCATCATTGATGACTCACATCTGGCTCAGTCCATTCAATGGATTTATGACTTTGGCTTTTTTGTTATTGGCCACAGGGGACGGGAAAAAGCATTGATAGGATTGGGGGCTTTTATGGTAAGATGGCACAAAGGGAATGTATTTTGAGGCCAGGATAAGCATACAGTATTTTCAGCCTCAGTACGATCTGGTGA